GTTATAACCTCACAAATATCGCGAGCGAGAAACACGCAGCACCAATACAACCGAAACGAAACTGACCACGCCAGGCCGGCACGCGCGCCGCCGCAAAAAACACAAGACACAAGTCATATGAGGGATAATGAAGGGAGTAATAAATGTATTGTTGTCCTGCCGCCCAATGTGCGAAGGATATGCCTTTGTTTTTCATTTTGTCCTTCATAAATATATAACTGTTAATCCATAATGCATAAAGAAATTATTCAGTTTCCAAAACCCCCTATAAAATGTGTTGCACTGATTCCCTTAACAGGCAATGATTTATTACTTTGCATCGAATACGATCGTACTATAGATTATATTATTTTATTATAAGAAAAAGTCGAGAAAATGCATAAAATTTTGATTGTCCTTATTTTCGATGGTCACGAATTTTTATTTTTAAGCACTAGAACTGATCTGCTTAGCACTCATCACTACAACACTGCACCACACTTTTTATAAAATTTTACCATCGTGACATTCAAAAGCAGTAAGGCACTATACATGGTGTCTGGAAATTAATGCAACAAAATTTGGTGGTAGATTTTTGAGACAAAAAATTTAGGGAACCCGCATTTTTTATTTTTGCCAAGTGGCCCCTCTTTCGGTGTTACAGCCCCCTGAAATCTCCCCTAAGAATAGTCTTTTATATCTCACAACCCCATTGTACAAGTATCACTAAATTGGTACACAGGGGTTTTATGACATGTGGAATCTGATAGTGCTACGCTTTTTGGTGGGGATTGGGGAACCCCCTTAAGACACTTTTTCGTGGACCCCCTCGTCTTTGGAACCAAAAAAATTTGGTCGCAAATTTGAATTTTTTAAAAATTATTAGTTAGCCATTGAATTTAGAAACTTTTTTGTCTCAATGTTTTTCGTAAAGTTTTTGAGGAAAATGGCGAATCACGGTATGCATTCGATCACATTTTGACATTTTTCTCGAAAACATTGCGTTTTACAAAAAAAGTATCAAGCCACAAAAAAGTGAGGGTTGCTTTCGCTGTACAGCAAGAAATAAATGCTCTCTCAACGGTACTAATAAAGAATTTTATTGAAAACTGGTGTACAGAAAACTTGTGTATGAAGACGTGTTAACAGGGTAAATGTTCGTTGGAGAGTGCCTGTGGTTGAAGTCGGTGGTAGGTAGCTTGGTAGTCGGTGGCAGAAGTCCCTGGTCTTGGCGCCACTCTATAGGGGTCGGCTTCCGGGAACCCCGGAAATTTTTTTGGCTCCAAAGACAAGGGGGCCTACAAAAAATTGTCTTAAGGGGGGTCCTCGCCAAAAAGCGTAGCACCTTGAGATTTCACATGTCACAAACAACTGCGTACCAAATTTAGCGATTCTCGTACAAGGTTCCGAGATATAAAAAAACGATTATTCTTAGGGGCAGATTTCAGGGGGCTGTAACTCCGAAAAAGGGGGCCACTTGGCAAAAATAAAAAATACAGGTCCCCTAAATTTGTTTTAAGAATCTGTAACCAAATTTTGTTGCATTAATTTCGGAACACCCTGTATGTAAGCTCTCTAAAATTTTATATACAGCCAATTTACTGTAATCGTGAAATTATCAATACCTTTTTCTTTTTACAGACATATGTTTTTTCTTTCATCAGAACTGCGGACAATTATACTACTTATAATTTCATAATAAAAAGAATGCCCAGAGCCCAGGGCTCAAAATAGATTTGAGAGTGGAGATGGGTGGAACAAGACTGATTCTGCTCACTGAGCCGTCTCTTTTTACCGAGTCAAGTGATTCAGTTCCTTTTCAAAAATTCGTCTAAGATCTTGTATGGTAAATTACAGCATATATGTTACTACATGGAAGCACCACGTGTTAAAAAGCGTAGACACTGTAGAAAGGGCAACAGTTTAGGTACTCGAGAGAGGGAGACTGTCTAACTATGAGCAGAAGTTGCATGCGAAAGAGAAAAATAAACTGGAAATCTAAATTATAGGTGGAAATTGTTGTACAGGTTTGGCAACTTGTAATCAAAAACATGGAATTGCTGTAATAATATATTTGAAAGAAAAGTTTCGGTCCTTCCGTTACACATCACCTCAAAGTATAACTGATCTTAAATTTTATGTATAAATATGTACAAGGTACTGATGTATTTATTATTTATGATCTACTCAAGGTCACTTTAAGTTACTTTGGAGTTAATATGGGCTTTTTCTAAAATGGGAATGGTACATACTGGTAAACAAATTCCAAAGCTTTCGTCTCATTTAAATATGGGACGCTCGGAGTACCAGTACGTTTGGCCACTTTATGAAAACTCCCTATGAAACTTACTGTCCCATTAATAACAGACCTTAGTTTGGTTACACAATTGAAGGAGACACTTGAAAGAACAAAAACAACGAAATAAATATAAAATAAATTAATATATTTTAAACAAAAAATAAAAAGAAAAACAATTATATATTCAGTCGATATATATCCAGATTTAAATAAAACAGACCAAAATGCAGGCATAATTTACAAAATAAGATTTGTATCTTTTATACAAAAAAACAATTACATTTGTATAATAAAATGTGATCCAATCAACAATCAGTTTTTAAAACGCAATTTAGCATGTAAAATATCAACTGAATGTAGGCTAGTTTGAGAGATTACAAAATTTAATATCAAAATTACAGATTTCAATTTTATCACTCAATATCGTATACGCACTCTTAGATTTTGTGGTCCCAACCAGCCCATGTTCCTCTGACCGTACAACGAACATAAAAACAAGATAAATAATTTATTTTGTAATTAGCACCGCGTCTTAATTAATGTGCATAATCATAATTAAGTTTGTAACCAAACTTCGCTCTGCACATTTTTTGCAAATTTTCGCTACGATTGCCTTAAATTTCCAATTTGATTATATTCAAAAGGCGACAACATAAAAAAATGTCAAAGTTGTACCTGATCGTATTTTAAAATTTACAATACGAAATAATTTATTTTCCAAACATTTAATAATTAATATTAAGTACTGCAATAAATAGTATTAAATCTAACATGTTTATAAATTACAACTATATAAAATATGCGACACGATAATTATTTTTAAAATACAAATTAAAATAACTATCTTATCTCTGTTTAACAAATATTTAAGATTCTATATTGCCCCCAATGGCCCCAACGTTATGATGTAAACTTGTATAAAAGCATATTCCATAAAACGACGGTATTAAATTTGATTTTCATATAAATTCTCGATATTTGATTGTCGGTAAAAATCCCTGCAATCATAGCGAATCTTTGCCATAAGGAGTGCTTAAATATATTAAATACAATCTCATTTGGAGAAAACTCAACATTAAATTTAAGATTTTTTGCCACTAACGTTTTAACAATATAGATAAAAAATATGATAATTTACTTTGATTTTTTTTCTGTGAATGGCTTTACGAAAGAAAAAACACCTAAGATAAAATAAAAATAATTTAAAATTAATAAAATATACATGATATACATAAATATGCACACTTACTCCTAGAATATATATGCAAAAATAACAATGACTACTAATCATTAATTCAACATCCACAACCGAGATGTAATAATGGTTTGATCCACTAGGCCTATAATTCTCAGCGTTGTACAAATATAGCGCATATAGTAAATATATAACTTTAGCATACAGTATTTACAAAAAATATACACTATGTACGTGGAATTTCGCTATTTAATGAAAAAATATTACTTATAGTACTGCACCCTACAGACTGGTCACACATCTGACCGTTGGCCCATTTCGACCCCTAAATAATTTAAATAAGTCATTTTGCTAATATACACATATATATAATTTATATATGTATGAAAATTAAGTAAGGTAGAATTACGTAATGCAAAATTGTCATCTCTAATTTCGGCCATTGACGATGAATTGACTTGACGCATTCTTTGGCATACATTTTCCTCTATGTACAGAGTCTAGTCCTGGTAAGTTTTTCCTAACTCTCCCTCTTCAGGCGATTTATGCCTTCTCTTACATACCTGACCAAGTCTATGAGAGAACTGTGCATCGTCAAAGGCCTGCACTGCCTGTCCAGCTCAATAAAGAAGTCTGAAATAAATATAACAATCAAAATATCATCCCAAAAATTCAAAATGGCTATGCAATAAAATAAGTGGCGAAATCCAAAACAAAAAAAAAATCGAACTAAGTTTGGAAACCGATATTAAGAAAACGTAGAACCGAAAAAAAAAATTAAAATTTGGACCATTTATAGCCTCAGTATTACTCTAATGCGTGCTAAAATTTCAGTTAGTTTCGTTATCCCATTTTTTAGTTATTAATGAAAATGTTGAAAAAATCATGATTTTTGGTCCCAAAATTGACACCGTTTACTTTAACTCGTCGTAATTTTTTTGTTAATAGATAAAACAGTTGTGCAAGATTACTTAAAGTAATCGGAGCATATCCAAAACTAATTTAGAATTAAATTCGGTAGTACGACCGTAAACAAAAATTTGTGTATGCAAAATTTATTCCATTTAAGACAAAGCGTGATCGACGATTACAGTCAATTCGATTTCATAAACCACCGACCTGTAAGTTTGCCCTTGATAATGAGTGAGTCGGCCATATCCCAATGATCCTGGAATGAGATTAGATATGTGAAGAGCTGGTTCTGCAAGGACACAGAGTTAAAAACAGAGAGCGGAAGCCATGCCCCGGCGTTTTGAGCATGCGTCGCAGGAATGAGTGCATTGTTTCCCCTCGCCGCCAATTCTCCACTGCTGTACCCGGAGGACTGGCTGCCCACCGAACCCACGGAACCGGCGGGAGAAGGGGTGGGAGACAGAGGAGAAGGAGTACCTTGGCCCTGTTGGTGGTTCTGCTGATCTTGAGAAATGGCATTCTGAAAGAAATAATGCATTACAATTTGGCTTCATTTTGTTAATATTTTTGATTTCATTTAATTACTTCACGATCGCTTTTACTTCACAATTGATTCACTCTGATTACAGTGGGTGTGAAGTAATTGGGCCTATGAACGTAAAAATAATTTCCTCTAGATACGAGTGCCTAAAGATGTATTCAATGATGAATATAATTTATATCTAGATATTTCATAAATATGGTTCTGATTATAAGCTTAAGATTTATTAATTTTTATACGTCGGATGTCTACCATGAAATAAGGTAAATGAGGATGATGGTGTTAGTATAATAACAGTGTTAACCAATTACTCTTCAATTTCAAATTATCAAGAAAAATCACTTAATAGTTCATTATACAAGAAAATAAATTTATAACATTCTATACAATTCACTATATTTTATTTTGCATGTATTCAATTTTTTGTAAATATAGTTCCGAATTTTTTAATACGTTGTTTCAAACAACTCTTCATTTGACCATTACACTAATGATAAAAAAGTACAGGTTAAAACTATAGGAATGTCCATTAATAGAAAATATTACTCGTTATTTCTTACCTTACTGCAATAATCACTAACAATTTTCTGCACTTCCTTGGATTCCTGCTTCCTCATTTTAAATAACTTATAAAACAGCAGAGCTTGGCACCGATAACTATAAAACGATTTAAAAATTCACAAATGTTGTATTAATGTCCCCTTAATTATACAAACCTTAACACAGCCAATTTAGTATGAACCGAGGATACATTTTGCTGGCTCCTAAACTGAGATGAAATATATCTGCAACAAATAAATTATTTGTTATATGGTAGAACCTCAATTAACCGTGAGTGGATTATTCGGTACACGAATTATCAGAGCGGCGCACATTGGGAAATATTGGAAAAAACTCCAGCCACACTGATTTTTTTTATTCTTTCTGAAATTACCTGTACTATAAAGTTCCGCTGAGGTAATTGGAATATATGCCTAGAATTTTTTCAAAATGGCCGAGTAATCTCTAGCCTCAAACTCGATCATACAAAGTTTGACATATTCGGTATCTAAAAATGAAAAAAAAGGAAAATTATGTACTAAAGGCTGCCAAACAAAAAAAATCTTATAAACATTAAATATATTCCTAAATCATGAATCTAGACCCAAACATAACCTCAAATTTATAAATCTTAACCTAAAACGAACATTCTCAATTTTTTCTAAACTTGTGAGTATAAATCCATAATAATGGTACTTTTGAGTGTGCAACCTATATTTGAGGTTATGTTTTTGGTCTAGATTCATGATTTATGAATATGTTTAATGTTTATGATTTTTTTCGTTTAGCAGCCTTAGTTTTCCTTTTTTTTTTCATATTTAGATACCAAATATGTCAGACTTCGTATGATCGAGTTTGAGGCTAGAGATTACTCGGCCATTTTGAAAAAATTCTAGGCAATTACCTCACCGGAACTTTCTAGTACAGGTAATTTCGGAAAGAATAAAAAAAAATCAGTACTATTTGATTAGTTTTGACGCGTGGCTCGAATTTTTTCCAATATTTTCCACTGTACGGTGGCCAAAATTTAATACAATACTTTCAAACAGGTTTTCTACTTCGGAACATAGGATTATTATTTTTTACTTCATCAAGCCAGAAAGGTTGGAAATTAAAATTGAAAAATGAATGTAAAGTGCAATCGGCCGCCATTTAGTGAAATTTTTTTTTAATTCTATGTTGTGAAGGACATTGTAAATTACATATTGAGAACCTTTTTGAAATTTTTGTTTCAGATCAACCGACTGCATGTAAGCTTGGGAAGCGCAGACCACGCAAGCGAGGGATATTTTTTAACGCCCCAATCGATATATATTTATAAAGAAATTTGTCAGCATACTTAAATATGTATACTGCAAAATAAAACAAAACTGGATAAAATAGAACAAATAGTTTTTGAGATAATAATTCCTAAAATTCACCCATTTTTTCCGCTGTCTACTCAGATATTCCTTCTCACGCGAGGTTTTTGTCGGAATGGTTTGGTTGCTTTTAATTTTTTTAAATATTTAAATTTCGATCTTTTCAATATCGCAAAAAAAAAGGAAGAGAAAGAGCGTTAATAAATTACACACAATGAAACTAAGATCCAGCAAAAACTTGTCTCAATTCTTGAGAATTTGCAAATTGTTTCCGTTTTTTTTTTTTAATTCAAGGGATCTATTCTGGTCTGTAGTGGCATTATCACATTCGCACGAGCAGCGAGTCGAGTGGTGGGGCAAATGTGTAGATGGTCCCCTCGTCATTCGTCTCGTTCCTTGCCTTTCCACTCGCAGCGCTCGTTCTGGAAGCGGTTTTCTGGGGACGAGTCAAAGGCCCGCACAGACGAGGCGAACACAATTGTCGCACTGCGGTTCACAACAATCATTTTTAGTAACAGCTGTTTTTTTTTTCATGTTAAATCGAAATGGAATGGAATAACGCTAAAGTGTTTGAATTTTTGGAACTCTACCAGGGTGAACCTATTATTTGGAATCCAAAACATCCACTTCATAAAAATGTCAATGATTTGTGAATAAAAATATCGTCGTTTGAATGCATCCACGAGGGCAAAAAAATTAGTTGATGGCTACATTTCGCACGACTGCCGCCAAAACTTCCACGTCGTCTATTCGCCTCGCCTTGGTGAACTGCGAGTGTGTAGCCACTCATACTGTGGGGAACGAACGTACGAATACCTCTCGCGGAGCTGACGAGTGACGAGGCGAGCCACGAACACGAATGTGTAAATGCGACATAAGATGAAAGGGGACTTACTTGATTAACGAAAGTGTGTCTTTGTACATTGTGAAGGCTGAATTTTTTGAAATGCTTTCTTGCTCCATGGTGTTGCCGGTAAGCAAGAAGAAAAGTACAGCTTCCAGGTACAGCATACATTGTTTAATAGTATCAGTCTCTCCATCAGCCATGTGTTTTAATCTCTTTGCATCGCTCAGGTACTGGTTTTGATCCCTGAAAGGAATTCGAGATTTTAATTCTATAAGATTGTTAATATTATGGAAAAGATCACTGTGTACAATTGTTTGTATTGATTTTTTTTTTAAATGTATCAACATACCTCTCCTCATATTCAGATGGTTCTTCTGGAGGTTCAAAGTATGAGTGGTACTTTCTAGTAGGCTGGGTGTGATTGCTGGACATAGACCCATCAAGGTACTGAACAGTCTTGCTTGCTTCCCGTTCGTGGTTGGTTGGTGGGGCATTAATTAAACTGAGATTATCAATTTGAGATCGTGCAACTTCAGTGTCTTCTCTTCGTCTCTTAGATTTTGGATTATCTTTATCCTTTTTAATTTGGTGTTCTTTCTTGTGACTGTTGTGAGACATGTTACTGACTGTCGAAAGTGAAGAAATGGAGCTGGAGCTATTTCTCCTTTTGCGTTTCTTCAGTTTATGTTTCCTCTCGGAGTGATCCTGATCAAGTTTAGGTGGCAACGCCCTTTTTGTTTCGTTATCACTTTCCTTCGTTGACTTCACTTTAAAATCAGTTTCACAGTCACCTGTTTTCTCTAAATTTTCCTTTTTGGCCTTATCTAAGTTTTCCTTTTTTGGCTCCGTTAGCCTTCTAGTGTTCTCTATATATTTCCTCAAAGCGGGAATAGAAAATAAGTCTAACCGATTTAAATCTATCTTTACCAAAAGTGATATCTTTTCAATATTATCGTTAATTGGAATTTCAGTCTTCGTACATTTCATTGGGTCATTATATACAGGTGAAGATGAATGAGAAGGCAGTTCAGAACTTTTTCTTTTCACTTCATTATTGGATATAGGCGACAGCAGGGTGGGGTTGGTTGATATGGTTGGCATAGCCTCGTCCTCTACGGATGAACTACTGCGTTCATAATTTTCATCTACTATTATCACATTAACCCCGCATTTTCCTGGAAGAAAAAGCCATGAAAACTATCATATTTCAACTACTTTTACATATTGCTTGAGCAACTACTATACAGGCTGATTGATGTCAAATTTATCAAAAAGGTCTATCTGACAAGAGCAATTACATTTTAACAAACTGCCACCTTTTCAGATATAACATGATTTTTTTTTAAGAAGGTGTCTGTTTTGGAAATACCGTTCAGATTTAGACAAAACTTTGTGTACTGGCTAATTACTAAAAGTAACATAGTTAAAATTTTGAGAAGCTAGGAAACCCGAGAGAAAAGTTACGACAATTTTTACTTTTACGAAAATAAAGTCTTATGGAGAATCTCCTTTCAGATAGGAATGACGGTTAATTTGTTTTTTTTTTAGAGATGTGCCGCAGATAAGTCATGAAGAGTGGAGTGGACATGTCCTGAGGGCACTTTTCAAGATTAAAAAGTTGTATGCGCATGCGCAGAATTATTTGTTACATTCATAATTCCCGCAAAAAATTTTTGAGGTTGGTACATGTAAAATTAAAGATATTTAGCCATTTTCTTGTAATTTTGTTGGTAATTGTTTAACTGAAACTGACATTTTAAAAATATAACCTCCTTTATATGTTCATATTTTATTATTTTTGGCAAAGTTAACGACTAGTAAATAGTAATCAGTTGATTCTTAATTTAATATTTAATTCACAAATAGTTTATAAATGAAGTATGACGCCAAAATCAACAGTTTGGTTATATTTTTCTGAATTGAGTAAAAATCATTATAAATACTTCTACTCAAAAACAATTTTTTAGAATTCCAGTACGATCGAAAAACATTTAAATAAGTGTATTGGCTGTCCGGGGTAAATTAGAAACCAGTTTACAAAAAAGGCTAAAGGTAGGTAATAAGTAGAATATATCGACACATATTCATTAAAATAAAAGTAATATTTATTTTTTGGGTTTCGTTGCATATATTTATATTACTTTCAGTCTAATATGCTAATAGAAATTTTTGAAGTTTGAGTTTCTAGTAAATACAGACAATGCAATATACACTCGTTTCATAATAGTTTGGTCAAACGGATTTACCTGACGAAGTTCACCAATTCAAAAACATTTATTCAGACTATGCTTACTGAGAGCACATAAAAAGTTAAATAATTAATTTACTGAAGAAGTACTTTTGCTAAAGACAGAAGATTGAAGATTTACTTTTTAATTTTAAACACACTTTTCACTTTTATATTAATTTTGTTTTGTAAGTATTTTTATTTTGTAAGTATAGTAGAACCTCAATTATTCGGCCCGGCCGGGACAGAACCGTTGCTGGATAATCGAGAACACCGTTAATCGAAATAACGCCCAACTCACAAATTTTGCAAAAAATATGAACTTTATTACACATACCTATTACGTTCACTTGTACATATGTAGGTAAATAATATATATGCGATAAACAAGCAGAGACTCATCTTTTTTTTTTGTTTTCGAGCGCTTTTTTGCCCCGCCACGAATAATCCGCGTACGGATAGTGGATAATCATAAACATTGCAGCACACAAAGAATCCGCCGCACCGATAATCGGGGTTCTACTGTACATACTGTATATTTATTTCTATTTTCTTTTGTATACCTAGATTTTGCTGAACATATGACTGTTTTCTTTTATAAACAAATTAAGGAATATTATATTTGCCCCCCTTGTAAAACTTTCTAGTGTCTTTGTATATCTGACAAACAGTAATTTAGTAGCAATGCAATTACTCACATCACATTTATCATATCCGTTTACTCTTGACTGACATATTTGATATCAACAATCTTGTTACTTACTTTTATCTTTTACGCTCTTATAAACTAACAACCAAATCAAGAAATAAATAAATAAAACATAACGATACCTTTACCACCACCTTTTCCTCCTCCTTTTCCACCACCTTTGCCTCCTTCAGAGTCCCTTTTAGGTGTGAAGAGTTTACGGAGGGTATCGTATTTATTCTTATCTGCTATCGTCTTATTCTCTTCCACCTTTATAGTGGAATCTATTTTGTTAAGAGTTTTCTTCGATGGTGAAGTAATATCACTATCAGAGTCCTCGGATGATGAGCTTACTTTAGCTTTAGATTTCACCTTTTCAATATCACTTGATTCCTTTTTGGGTAAAGGCGGTCGACCTTTTCGCCTAAACGGTGATGTGACATCTTTTGAGTTATCCGACAATTTCTTCTTTATAGAGTCATCCCTGAAGTGATTTTTTAAGATCGCCTTATTTTCAGCGCCCCATTCTTCATCGGAGCTCTTCTTTGCTTTTTTCCTTTCCTCAGACCTTGGAGATTTATGTTTGTAACTTTTCTTTGGAGACTCATGTTTTAGAATTTCTCTTTCTGACTCGTGACGAATACTGCTGCAACTGCTTGAGTTTCGTCGCCTTGGTGCTGGACTATCCGAATCTGAGCTGCTGGATGTCTGCACTTTTGATTTGGTCCTGCGGCGTGGTGGAGGTGGAGGCTTTTCAAACTTCTCGTCCTCGTCGGAACTGCTTGAACATGGTGGAAGTACAGATTTTGGCGGACGACCTCTCTTTGGCTTCTTCTTTTCGACGTCCGATGAAGTGTTAGGGGATCTCGTTTTCTTTGGACGACCTCTTGGTTTCTTCACTTCATCGCCGTTAGGAGGTTTAATCTTCCTAGGCCTTCCTCGACCAGGTTTCGTAACTTTCTCTGGGTTCACTACTGGCACAGGGGAAATAGGTTTGGGGGCGGTGTTAACGAAGCCACTATAGGTTTTATTTTCAAAATCAGAGTCACTGTGGGAGTCCACTGATTTTGTCCTGGGACTAGCACGAATCACCGGTTTTCTTTTACTAGTTCTTTTCACATCTGAATCACTGTCACTTAAATTAGGATTGGTAACTGGTTGAACGGTATGCTTTTGTTTCTTTGAATTTGATTCTTTGCTGCTGTTTTCCGAGTCAGAGAAACTGGACAGTAACGGCAAATTACTTAATTCAGCTAGCGCTTTTGCCTTGGCCACTATATCATCAATGTCTTTAGTGGAATCACTGGTGTCCGACTCCTCAGAAACCCTTTTCCTACTGTCCGGACTTGTCTTTATTGGCAGCGAACAAGACGGTTTAACAGGAGACACTAACGGAGAGGTAAGGGGATCTGTGATATTTTGGCTGTTGCCCACGAAAGATGCCAGGTTCCACCTAATTTTGCTGTCTTCTGACGGAGGTGACGCTGGCTGCAATTCTGTAGGTGGCGGTTGTAAACGTACGTCCACTGAGGTCACATTTTCCTCTCCGGAATCGTCACTGCTGGACTCGCTATCTGACCCCGAATCAGATCCTGAGTCACTAGAAGAACTAGCTACCGGTGAGGTTGGGATGGGTGCCAAAGGTTCGGGCACATCCATCTTTGAATTATGTATTGCTGGAGTAGCACTTAGAGGCGATAACATCCTAAAAAATAATTTTATTTAAAAAATGACAATATACTGTAGTATTATTATAAAGTTCTATATTTTAATGGATATAGTTTACCATTAAAAAAAGTACCTAATACGACATAAAATATTTTAATTTTATTAAGCGTGTGGAACTGTCAGTAGAAGAGGGGGAGGTGATAAATAAAAATATTGACTAACCTCATACATTTGATATATTTTTTAAAATCGTTTCTAGTTCTTTTAAAGAACTGTGTTCAATTTGTGAATTTCAGTATAAACAAACTTTGACATTGACCTAGTTTAAGTGGACTATACTAGGGTCATTTTACATATTCCAATGAAGTAAACAATTGGTTAGGTAATAGTAAGGGTAAGACACTATGATGGGACATGTTGAGGCATGTTTAGACAGCAATGGAGGAAGTTTTGAGTATATTTTATAAATATCTAAAAGTCGAAGGTAACCTAATCTCCGTACAAATATGATCCCTGTTCCAAGCTACACCCTGTACATACAAATATTCTTATATTTTTGTTTATGCTGAACAACATGATCTAACATCATACTGGACAATCAGATGGCAGAATTAGCAAGTAGTACAAAATTTCTAGGACTGCATCTAGATGAACACTTAAATTGGAAAAAACATATAGATGAACTTGCTGCTAAATTAAGTAATGTAATATATGGAATCAGGGTAATTAGTAAATATGTAAATACTACATCTACAAAAATCATTTACTTTGGTAGTTTCGAATCTATTTGTAAATATGGAATTATGTTTTGGGGTAATAGCACTGACATACAGAAAATTTTTGTCATTCAAAAAAGAATTATAAGAATTATCAATAATATGTCTTACATCCAATCTTGTAGATTGGTATTTAGGAATAGCAAAATAATGACTATATCGGCTCTGTATATTTTTGAGTGCTTAATGTATGTAAGGAAAAACTGGAATAATTTTATGACACTCATCATCACAGTATAATACAAGAAATTTAAATCTAATGTACCCATATCACAGACTTACTCTAACAGAAAAGAATGCACATTATATGTGTATTAAATTATTCAATTGTTTACCAGCGTCACTTAAACAGATACAGTGTAAATTTATACAAAAAACATATTAAACAATTTTTATTAAATATTGAACCCTACAATGTAACTGAATATTTGGAACACTGTTTAAACTAACTTAGGGAATCTGTTGTGACACCATTTCGCTCTTACATTGTCATTGTAAATGTTAATGTGTTTACGAATTAAAGATTATTATTATTATTATTAATATTAACATCTTTCTATGATTCATTTTATATTCAGGGGCATAAAATATATTCAAAGTACTTACTTTTCGACAATTATATTAGAAGAATGTAAAGCTTCCTTCTTATGTTCATCATCGCTTTCCTCCGATAAGTTGAGATCATCTCTTAGGCTTCTGAAAATTAATTTAAAAAAAATTAACACGCAAAATTTTACGAAGTTCTTGAATCTTTACTATCAATTATATGTAAAATATTTTTAATGTAGGTACTAAGTAGATATATATTTCAAATTCAATTTAAAAAACAAACTGTATCAGTAAGCCCATCGAAATTAAATTTAAAAACAGGTAAGCAAAAACACTAACACCTGCATCAACTTATAGTTTTTATATGGAAAGCTAAAATATTTAATTTCCTGGAAATTTTACTTTAGCAGATCAATAAGAGTACTCTAGTTGTGCGCATTAATTAAGGTTGCTTTTATTTTTAGACAAAGCACAGTGTACATCATCCAATAAGAAAAATGCGCTGAACTCAAATGCAAAAATTCCATGTAGTACCTACTCGTAAGAAAAGTAAAAGTTGCTTCTCGTTTCTCACGGTTGTTAATACTACGATATTTTTTTGTTTTTAATTTTCGTAAATGAAAAAATTAAGAATCTTTATTTTTCCCTCACTGAAATTTATGTTGGAAACCTATTAATATATGGTAATGCATTGGTGATGAAAAGAAAATGTGCTGTTTTTATTATTATGTGCTACTCATCTAGATCTAGATAAATTGAGGAGTAATAAAAACAAATCCAAATGTTATTAGATGGAACATCTTTATCAAAATATAAATCAATATGAAATTCCGATCATTTTAAACAACTGTTTTGTATGTATGTCTGTGGAGGATTTTGAGAACTTAAAAATCCCAGAAAACCATAACATTTGAAATTTCTACATTTTCCAAAAAATCTAGACGATTTACGATATTTTCAATTCTAGAAATTATTATTTGCCTCAGTATATACAACCATCTCTTTGTTTGATGGTAGGTATTGGTTTCAGTATTAAAATTTTTCTTGTAAAGAATTTGATTTGATACCGTTTTGGTCTATCTAAATACAGATCATTAATTTGTCATTCTGGCTTGTAGTACCGGTGGATATACTTACTCTTGGGGCCGTGGAGCCGGTTGACGATCACGTTCTGAAACAAAACAACACGATTAGAAGCAGAACATTAAAAAATTTGTGCGTGCATGTTATTTTTGAAACTGATGGCGACTACCGATGTCTTGGCTTCTTGGTTATATGTACTATAATACAACACCGACAGAAGGCCACCTGTTAGATGCAACACCTGCAGCCCAGGTGATTCGGTCAACGGAAAATGTGCGTCAGATATTATCGCAATGTATAACACTGAACGTTGGGCGTACTCCAGAAATCGAAACAAAGAGATGACGACTACGATGACGGTACGCTTTCTCATCCAGCTTTTGGTAAATATTGAAAGGTCGGGACGGGAGTTTTGTCACAATTATACGTTCATAGCGTACGTGCGAATCATTAGTTATTTTTAAGATCGTGGGAAATTGCTATAAATGATTCCCAGCTCATTCCAAACTATTGCCCAGCCCATAAAATTCATCTAAACGACACATAAGTCGAAGTAGGTATTGACGATTATTAATATTTTTAATCGAAAGTTATTATCAAATATATCATAGATAAACAAATTACATTTACAAATTCATATTGCATTTGTTTCTTTTTTTTTCAAAATCTAGTACCAGTTTACGAATAAAAACTATTTACGTCAAAATAGGTTGTTAATTATTTAGCTACGTCTGTAGTTTTTAATGGTAATATTTCTAATAACGACATTTAATGTGAATAGATCCATAAAAAAATCACGTCAAAAGCGAAGTGCACATCGTTACATTTAATACATCATTATTAAACTATTAAATTCGCCGTCAACCCTATGTAGACGATATTATCGCTGAGTCTTTTTTAAAATCTAGTACATTCAAAAAAGGAATTCCTGATTTTAACCAAGAAAAGCGCCATATACTTGTGATACACTGCGTTCTCCACAAACTTTTTTGTTGCATGGAATTACCAGTGATCTTGTATTTACCATAAAATCTGTGTCAAATGGCTTCTGCGTATGTCGACTGTACCACAGTCATATATATTATGACAAAAAAAAATGCAGAGAACCTTTTTTTTATTTAGATATTTAGTTTTCTCAGTGTGAAATCGCTGATAAAACAAATAGTATATATATAATTCCATTAAAATAAAAACCTTTTGACGTAAGGACCAACTTAATTTTTCTTCGCAGGCGACAAAGCACCCGATCAAAAGAGAAAACGTCTCCGACGTCTGTAGCTTCACTTAATTTTCCACGTATTAATACCTAATTAGCGACATGTAAAATAAATCTGCAAAGTTTTAATCTGACAACGAGTGTACGTGTACTAAAATTTTATTGCTGCATTACGTTTTCCAATTTCCGGCATATCTATATACCTGACTTGTACCGTATGATGAGGTAAGTAACTGCCTGAAATAATTGACAGTAATTTGTACATATACCATCGTTCTCTATTATTTAGCTGCATTAAGAAGACTTTAATAGAACAATAGCGGTAACCTCAACATAGATATATTTCATGATGAATAAATCTTAGGATACAGTCTATACAACAAATATTCTTGTTTTGACCTTGACGATCCTGATATTAAAATATATGAAAATTTTAAATTGGAAGCACGGATAGACAACTAAAGATGTATTTCAAATGTCTTACAATAGGACTGAATGATATATAGGTACCTACTCGCAATATTTTATTTTGAAGTACATACATACATCACATCATTACTTTTGAAAATAAGTCCTTAACAGTACAGTACTGTAGTTTTTATTTATTTATTGTTCTATCCAAATCTACCTTTTCCGATATCTGCGGAATGAATCTTAGATAAGTGATCGTGCACATTTCTAATTTTTTGAGTAAATACGAGCAAAAATACTCGTATACTGAGAAGTTACGTATATGATAAGAAATGAATTGTCGTAAAATTACTTTACAATTGCAGTGAATTACAATTTATTTATAGCCAATAAAATCTTAAATCAGTTTCGTCATGTTTACGCTTTTAGCCTCAAAAAATAATTTTAAAATTAAATTAAGATTTTGTCTACTCCATGTCGTAGTTTGTAGTTAATACTAACCTAGGCTCACACCTTGAGGCCTGATTAAAATTCAAAACACAATGCTGCAACACTAGTATGGATGGCTTTCCTCCTACTTGGTACTTAGCATAATTAAATCATTAATATCTCCGTCTAGACGCAGATCCAATCCATTTCAATGTTACAGTTGGAAGTTGGTGATACTTAACTAATTGTTGGTCTCTCCAGTAGCTTAATAATTACTTGAGAAATTTGAAACGAACAAACGGAAAAAATAATAACTTGAAGTTCTTTGAATACTTTTTTATGTAATTTTACAACAGTTAAATTTCAAGAGTTCCATAATGTTATTTTCGTTTCTCGTTACATGACATTTTTGTAGTAGTAGTTCATTAGCGTACCATATTACTGTAGACACAGAAAGAGAAAGTCAGCTTTCATATATTTAAATATCTTCTACATCTTTTTCTGTCACGTTCCACTGTGTCATAACTCTAATTTTTTTGCCCACGACTAATTTATAGAATACATATTTTAAAGTTGTGAAAAATTTTTCTAAAGGAGGATTCTCATAGTCAACTTCAATGATCAGTATTGTTCAATCTACGCAACTGAACATGACTCAAGCGTATTGAATAATAATATACAGACTAGTGTCAGTATTAAAAATGGCTGCACAGAAAATTGTAGGTACTTGGTTCGTATTGTGTGAATATTAAAGAAAAGAAAACCTCGTCGTTGATGGGTCAGACCATGGATCTTAAAATGGAGATATGAAGGTGTTCAGTAAAACTGTTATTGGAATCGGCTACAGGTGATTTGTAAGCCTATGAAAACCATTAGGAATGACTGAAAAAAAAATTTAAGGACGTTTTTTGGAAAAAATTCTTTTTTTGGGGGGGGTTTTTCCGGCAGGGTTCAATTTCCAATTGTTTTTAGGTTTTTCGGGGCCGGGGGTTTGTTTTCCTTTTTTGGTTGCTTTGTACACGCTGCCCAAAGAGTATTTCACAAAAATTTAATATCAAAACACATATAATGGCCTTCCAATGCGACTGAACACTTGGTCGCACGTCATATACCAGGGCGAATCTGTCGAAATATCGCACTTCTTGGATGTAAGAGGGGGAAAACTAATATTTGTTGGAATAGTACAACTCATATAATAAAAGTGTAGATCCCTAGATCTGGGCGAGGTCCGGAACATTTTTAAAATTACTAATGTTCAAAAAATTTTAAAAATACATATTTTTGACATGAGTTTTTTACTTATATTTTGGAACCTATGCATTTTGGAAGAATATTGAAGAGGAAAAAAGTTCTAGAATTGAATTTTGCAAAATATACTGAAAGTTAAAAATGTTTAAATTTATTACCAATGTTGCAAAAAAGCAATAATTGATGAAGAAAAAGGCAAAATAATCAAGTTTTTTGAATAATTTTTTAAAAATATTTAATTGCTCCGAGGGCATTCTAATTTTGGTAAAAAAAAAACTTTAGAGTATAATAAAACAACACACCAAGTTTCATTAAAATCGGTTCTAGTTTCCGTAAAATAATGTTTCTAAAATTAAAAAATTTTTTTTTCGAATTTTCAAAATGTTGCACAGCCTCAAACAAAGCATCTAGATACTTGAAAATTTTTTCACATAGAAAAGACCGTTCAACCCTTCAAATGGTTTCTGAAAAATTGAAATCGGTTGATTAAGACGTCCACAGTAATTTTTTAAAGTCGACACTTTTTTTTATTTTTTAACATTTGGTGTGTTGTTTTATTATACTCTACAGTTTTCTTTCCCAAAATTAGTATGCCCTAGGGGCAATTAAAATATTTAAAAAAATTATCAAAGAAACTTGATTATTTTTCCTTTTTTCATCAATTATTGCTATTTTGCAACATCGGTAATAAATTTAAACAGTTTTAACTTCCAGTATATTGTGCAAAATTCAATTCTAAAACTTTTTTCCTCTTCAACATTATTCCAAAATGCATAGGTTCCATGATATAAGTGAAAAACTCAGATAAAATAGGTATATTTTTTTAAATATTTTAAACATTTTTGCAATTTTGAAAATGTTCCGGACTTCGTCCATATCTAGGGATCTACACTTTTATTATGTGAGTTGTACTGAAGGTAATCCAGAAAAAAATTGCTTTCCCCCTCTCACATCCACCTCAAAACAGATCCGTCCTGGTCTATCAAGCTCTGTTCAATTTAACAAAATCAGTCCTAAGGATCAACAAAAAGTAAAAGTCTTTCAATTTTATTGGGCAATACCGTTGAACAGATATTTATATTAATCTAATTTTGTTTCAAGCGCACAGATTCAATGATACCGATCAATGTAATTGACTAACAGGTCAAATTGAATGACCTTTTCAGTTCCCAGACATGAGTACCACATGTTTTTTTGAAACATTTAACATGTTCCGCCACAGTTGTCTGAAAAAAAACTAGCGGCATCTGCTGACAAAAAAAATAGTGTAAAAAGCAAATATTGAATTTTTTAATTTAAATGTCAAACCGTATACCCAGTACAGAAATTAGTTAAGGCCGGTGCTATTTTGTATCTATTTTAAAATCGTATTTTTAGTCTATTATGGTTGAAGTCCACAATGCACGTAACCCATGGGAATTCTGCTTTGACTGCAATTAGGAGAGGCATGGCATGCCTTTTATGTTTTCATTCCCAAGTTAACGTTGCCGATTTGTAAAGGTTTAACATTTTTATCGCACCAACAAAAAAATTGTGAGCAGTTTACAACAATTTGTTTCTGTGAGGAGTATGTTGTTACATTTACGGTTTGAATGTAGCCCACAAGGTCGTAAAACCATAAATTCTCAAGTTAATGACCTCTACGAATGCACCTACCGCTTCGTTTCTTAACAGAATGGTACCTCTTTTCTAGGTACCACTTAATACGAGCAAATAAGACAAAGCAAGGAAAACAGTAATACGTGCCTCTATAGTTGTGAATAAAAAAATATTATATACGCGGGTGAATGAAATATAAACCAGAATTTAATTCAAAAGCAGGATAGGGTACAGATATCGATATACTTATGTCAATACTCAACATATAAGCTATTGTAGTACTCCTGAGAGGAAGTGACGCATAAATGCATGCACAACTACTACTGCTGACTTCTAGAAAACGTTAAAGCTCGTTGCCGAAGCAAAACACCTGGCTAACGAATTTGAAATGAAGTTTTGACCTTGATAACATTAAACTCTCGATTAAAAGTCATACAACTACATGTTACGGTAAAATTTGCAACAAATTATGTCTTAAATATCTTCCATACAACTTAAATGTGTGGTAGGGAAAGACTGTTAACATGACTGATTATTTTTTACAGAACGGCGGTTTTTAAAAATAGTTTAATATAAAAATTAAGTTCGATGGCCGTAAATGAAGACCTACAGAAAATACAGCTGCGTGTAAACTATACATAATTTGTACCTACTGAGGCACCAACGGCTAGAACCTTATTTTGTCAACGTAAAAAGGCAAATACAACCGGGTGATTAGCATAACAAAATTCAAATGCCTCATAAAATACGTTAGAAAAGTGGCGTGGTGGCGGGAATTCTTCCTATCTGATAGTGGTAAATTACTAATTATATGGAAATAGCACAATAAACCCCTTTATTACGGTATTTAATAATAAATAAACCTACAAAAACACACAATGACATATTAAAAAGGGGACAGGAATTGATAGTGATAAATAACCTTGCTTTTTTTACTTCAGATCTCAGTTAATCTCTCATAACTGGAACAGCATTCAGAATCGCAAAGATCTCAGGTAAATAAAACTCATTGTCAGCTAATCTATCAGCTACACTAGAGACTATAACTAAGCATTAAAGTAGTGTCTCTATAACACACCGTCTGAGATTTACTCCAGGCAACCTCTAAACTCTCCTAACTGTGCCTAATATCAAGAATTAAATGGACCTTCTTTTCCAGACACTCCATTTACCACATGTTTCATTTATGATTATGACTATTGCTTTGTAACAGAAACATGAAATGAAAAACCAAGACACTGTTCGGAATTTTATTTCAACAGTTTCTCAAAAATATGCAGAAAAAGCATGGAACCCGAAATAGGAATTAAAACGTTTCACTCTCTTCTTTCAATTGGATTTACTATAGGATGAACATAGTTTTGAATTATGTAGTTCTATGGGGCTAAGGCGCATGAAACAGATTTTTCAAGCTTACACCTTGCTGAGACTTAGGACCTATGACATTCAGAATCGCAAATTGAATTAAGAATAGACATATTTATCAAAACCATAAAGAATCCGTAGGTCTAGGGATAAATCCGTAGGGTTTGCAACATTGCGATCGTATGGGATTTGAAATGAAGGGTTGCTGACCTACTACATGGAGTATTATTGAATATATTCCCAGTATTCTAAGTCTTACAGGAAAATTTGAGATAGGTAATAAATATGTATCTAAAAGCTTTTTTCTTAATTTTTTTCTCACAAATATATATATATTAGGCCTTGATTTGATGAATAATTCTTCTGAATCCCAAAAATGGCGTTTGTACATTGTGTAATATTACAAAATTATTCTGATTCTTAATAATAATTGCTGTAACGATTTTTAAGGAGCGTAATCAATCGTTTCATGTAACCAGTTGTCAATGTGTCGATCCTAAAACAAAACTATCGCCGTGCGCTCATGATGCGCCGTAGAGGACTTCTTGGTGCATTTCGATACGTCGACGTCTGTGTCAACAACCCGCGAAGAGCGGAAGGCAAGGTAACTAATCGGAAACAAAGAAAACAGGACGGTACCGTAGTCTCGGGAAAACGGTTCAGACTTACCGCGCTCTCCGGCTGGTACTCCGTCTGCGCACAAGCCTACGGCGCCGCCATGTGTTTGCACACAAAGACCAGCACGTAAACAACAACACAAACCGACAGAAACAATTAATAGCTCTAATTCTGGCACCTCCCGCACTTCGGACAAATCACTTGGACTGATGAGCACTCGACAACCTCGAAACATTCACCCGCGGGGGTTGCTACCGACTCGGCACTGGTCTACCACTGCGAACGCTTAGTATTTACGTCCACCATTACGTAAGTCGGCCGAGGCACGTCTATTTGAACCGTGGCCGATGTGCGAACTGCAGTATTCCGTGCATTTCGTTGCATAGTACCGCTGCCCTCGCCCTTCACCCCTCTGCGAAACAGGACGGACGCACGGCGTGCCACCCCGAGGGTTGGATGGGGACAACTTAGCAGCGAGTTGAGCGGGAATCGGAATTAAGAATTTATGTTCGCCATGACGGCGGCGAAATTGAGTGGCACGCGCTGAGGGAAGTGGGGCAGTCGGGCGATATTTGCGGGTTGTTGCTCTGCGGACTGGGGGTGGGTGGTCTGCTCGCCGGATGATTTTGGAGATTCATTAGACCACACCGCTAGACATTTTATCGCTCGACTTTACAGGACGAAAAATAATTTGAAGAATTCTCAATTAGGTACTACCCCCCGGTAACGTGAATTATAGTGGCACCCTCTCCAATTTTCACAAAATTTTGTCTACCCCCCTATTTTCAATCGTGCTGAACACGAATTTACATTCTTTTATTAAAACTTTTAACACCCTGTAGATCGGAAACTAAGCGCTCTTGGAATATGGTATATTAAGGAAATATCCTAAATCACTTGTACTATAACTTCCTGCAAAGAATGCAGCTGTATATTACGCACTTTTCATTATTACATTATTATCAAAAAAGTATTTTTAGAACATGACGATTTTTTTTTGGGGAATCAGTAGTTCCAAAGTTATTATGTTAGGTTTAATGCAGTACTTGGCAGCGGTAATCTAAGTTAAAAAATAGTAAAAATAATAATTATAAATAGTGACTGAATTTTCAACACCCTGTATCACAAAAACTAAAATTCCTTTAACCCGAACGAAATATGGATCATTTAGTGTTTCTTGTTTGCTTATATTTTGCATTACTTTAGCTTTAATTTAGTCCAAGAGAAATTATAATATCCGATTTATGTAAACAGACTATTATTATCTTTATCTAAATCTGGCAACAATGATTTATACTTCGTAGGCGTACGTGGCAAATACGAGTGGCAATGACGAAAACAATATGAGTAATTCTTTCGCATTTATAAAATATGCACAAACAAATGGCATAAACTATGTCAAAATATTAATTTATAATCAGCTTTTGTACACAAATAGAAAAAAAGCTTAAGGAAAACCGTTTCAATAGAAGGGAAATAGTTTTGCGAAAACAGAATGCAATGGTTGAAACATGGGAAAATTAATCATCACAAAAATAATACTTGTGGTTCCAGAAAATAGATAACCTAGATTTTATACATATTGTCGTTTACTGAAAAATTGATTCAGTTAGAAACCGATCGCATCTAAGCGTAGATATTTCTCTAATCTTTCCTATCAATAGCATCAAGATTTTTTCCTGTCACTAAATAGTAGTTGTGCTCCTCTCGACCCTACCGTTAGCCAAATTATTCAAGAATATAAAACTAATAAGCCGTTCATTTCATCAAGGTTAAACCAGTAAAAAAGAATACATGTATATACACAAACAATAGTAGTTTCTAATAATTCAACTCGATATAAACTCGATTGGAATACTTACTTTTAATTGCAGATGGCGCTGGTGTCTTCTCGTGTATCTGAAACAGAAACATTAATTGTTAATAGAATAATTATTGTAAGGAAGCAAATATTAGACATATCGCGTGAGTATCTTAACTTTTAGATAACATTATCGGCAATAATTCAGTGCATAGAAATAAATATATATTTCTTCTTAACAGGGCTTTAAAAACGCCTTATACATTATTTTTACTCTCCACAGTAACGCTAACTTTTTAAATATTTCGTGGATCAATTTTTTTAAATTTATCTAAGAGATAAATCCCTCTATTTTTTATCAAAAAACATTTAATTAAGACATCATTAATTGAATTAATTTGGTTGCACTTTATGAGGACTTTATATAGATTTTATTTCATTTATATGCTGTCCAATTAATTTTATATTGCCTTCGAGTTTAATTGACATTCGAGTAAATAAACAAATAAATAAATCTGAAGCTTCATAAATGCGTTACATAAACTGACAGATACACAAACTCCTACTTAAGCTCCATAATAAAAGTGTAAAATAATACCATTTTCATTATTCAATCAGTCTAAAAATGAACTGACATCGTTCCATTTCATTGCCCTGTCATAGCGACGACCCCAAGGGTAAAATTATACCCCTTTAAACGACTGCAACGTAATTTTTTCTAGAACCTCAATTACATACATTTAAATTTCATAAAGAGTGGGTAGGTTTTAATTTGAAGGAAATATATTCGTTAAAAAATTATGTCTAATGTATCTTCATACATTATTTTAATTTATTCTGCACAAAATTTCTGCCACTAAATAATTAAACTGATCAATAATACATGGACAAAATGCAATACAACCGCATGTCAACGGTGAAGGAGCATATTCCTCTTCCAAACTTACGAATATTTTCTTATATCAAGTTTGCTCTTTAAGATCTAATTTGATTTGAAAGGGTGTTAATAGTTAAAGAAAATAATTTAAAAAGTTCGGTTATTTTCTGAACAGACCTCGTATTGTATGCCCTGAATTTAGTCTTAAAACCTTTATTTGTCCATAAGGTATTTCGAGACACTTTTTTTTAATTAACACCCAAGGCTTCGAAAATATTTATACAAGAAAATATTTTTATATGGACGAGGAAAACGTTTCGTCATTTTTGACTCTGTATATATTTTTAAATATTTCAAATATACGTTTCTATTTTACTTTTTATATTTTTATAAATTTATTAGTAATAGAATATGTTTTTTTTTTTAAATACAACTGTAACCGTTACAATTGTAGAAAATTATAAATAACAATTGTGTTTCATATTCTGTAACAAAATAACTTAAGTTAACAAAAGTCTTGGTTCTGAAAGAGTAACATCAGCGAGATACGTTCACTGAACTTTGCCGATTTGCTCAATTTCACAAACTTTTAGATTAGCAACTGGTAATAAAATATTGTAGTTCCTAGTCGAGATAAAAGTTGAACGTTAAATACACTTTAACAAATATGTTTATATTGCTAGATTAGACTTCCTGTGACTGTTATTATTATGCAGTTCTGGTATTATATATATATACAAAAAGCGTTACAAATTTAAACATTATTAATGATTAAATTTAATTGTGATGGTATATTTGGTATACCTGGATATTTTTATGTAAATGTTACTGAATCATATCGAATAATATAGAGCAGTAAATATACAGGTACATTCAGTTTTAAATGAACAAGAATCCAGAGGTTGACGTTTCTAAAAATGTAAATTTTTTATATTTCTCAAACTAACCAAAATCCAATCACTGACAAGTCAAATCTGTTTGAACTCTCCAAAACCACTTTATAGAAGAGTTTCTCGATGTTAAGTTCTAAATACGAATAAATCCGGGAATTCTGACTTTTCGGATTCGGATTCAGCGGATCATAACACATTACAGTCGGATACCAAAACAATAGGCAGTGATTTCATCTTTAATCCGGCTCACCATTTTTAGCAGTAAACACAAAGAAAAGTACGAACGGGTTGTAAATTCTTCGTATAATCCCCCAGAGCAGGGGATGCACAGTTCTAGGATATTCCTCTGCTGCAGCAAATTTTAGACTTTCATTGATGCTTGGTGCGTGACATCAATTAGGTTTCATTTGGCGTGCACCAAATATTCTTCTGCTGCAGCAAATTCTAGGCTTTCATTGGAGTTTGGTGCGTGGCGTCAATTGGGTTGCGTTTATTCGGTTCCGGGTAATTCTGTCGGCACAAGCAAATAGGCGTACTCGCAGGAAAAGTCCGAGGATATCTTCCATTTAATTGTGATTGTAATTAATTTATTAGTGATTTTGGGTTTGTGTTCTTAAAAATGGAGAGTAATTTAAGCTGGATGGTATTTTAAAAATGAGCTTAAGACAATAAAATAAATTCAAACTGCTATCTCACAGGATCAAAATTTGCCTAGAATATCTAGAAGCGTGCTTTTGCGAAATATGCGTGAAATGAATTTCCGTTTTATAAAACGAAATCGAAAGAAATAGAAAAAAAGGAAATAATGATATGACGAAGAAACTATTCAAGACAAGTATTAGAAGCTCGAAAACTAAATCGCAGAATATATTACACGGACAAAGCATGGATAAATGAAGATCATACGGTGACAAAAGTGAGGTACGATGGATGGCAAACAGAAAGCATTTCTGGAACGATTTTCGACTGGATTAAAGTCATCTTTTGGAAAGTGCGGCGCCCAATAACAACGCATATTGGAAGTACAGTAAGATTTTTGGAACAGGGTATGTATATATAGTTCAGTGTATTATTATAAGTCCGAAAGGACGGCACTCAACAATTGTGGACAGGATGACAGGTGAGTCTATAAGCTTTTTAAAGTGAATATTTACCATTAACTTATTTTTTATAATTTTTGTGTTCTTTGACGCCTTCTCAAGTAGTACGCCTATGGAATCTTGTCCACTGCACCCCTCACCTTTCTTACTCATCTAAAGTGCTGGATATGAATCACTGCCCATTATTAAGGTACACGGGTATAGGACATACTTCTTACGAATAAAATTTTATCGGTATTTTAAAAAGTTTTTCCTACATTAGGTATATTATAAAAAAAAGTAAGATAATTCTAAATATGTACGCGATCGCAACATCTCCGGTGGTTGAAAGTAATTAAAGTCGGATTCCGTGGGAATACTCGGAATAGGTTATATTTACCTTGGCAAGAAGCGGATTGTAATTGTACTTGTTGTCGAGTTCTATCCTGGGGGTCGCCGCAATGGCAGTCAGTGGTGTTCTCTGGTCTATCATTTCCTGCAAGAAAAACAATAATGAATGTCTAACTGCATCGTCAGATATCAAACAATAGAAACGCAGCGCTTTGTAACGGCTCACCCTAACCATGCATTTATTTGCAGGTTTTATACTCTTTTAGCGGATGCGATTCAAAACCATTACCAAATTATATTTTTCAGTTATTTTAGTAATTGGTCGGTGTCGACTAGGACATAGCAGTCACGACGACTAGAAAACAGTTCGGTAATCGTGGATGCCTGCAGATAAGTTATATCTAAAATTAGATATAACTTGCAATGTAAATTCGGATTGAAGAAGGCAAGTATTTTCATATTTAATTTTCTTTTACTTTTATCGTTTCCAATTTAGTGTTATCAAGTTGTTTGGTATTGATGGTTTTATTTTACACAATATGTGGGTAGTAGTTTGCAAGCAGCAGCTTCGTCGATTTTTATCTACCCCCACATTCCAGTTTTCTAAACACATGTTTATTCTAACTGAAATAAATTTATTTTGTAACATAAAGCGCATTGCTGGTCTCACGCTAACCTCAAATTATTTCTACACGGTCTACTTTATATACAGGGTGTTAATGAACTTATGTCAAAAATTTAGAGGGGTGAAAAAGGAGCATAAACTGAGTTAACTGATGTTACAAACTTGTATCGGAAGTTTAAGGTTTAAGAGAAAAAAGCTAATTAAAAACTGTTTTGCAACTGCTGAGATACATGTATTTTATCGCGGTGAGTACTTACAAAAAATCTGTAACACTTTTTACGAGTTTTTAGGTTTCTTATGAAGTCGGACTGTATTCGAAAGTCAGTTTATAATCCATTGTTGTAGTGATTGCTGTATTGTTTTTCGAGAGTACATGTAATAGCCGTATTTCCAAGTTTTCCACTACGTTGAGGTTTTTGCGAATGATTGCTTAAGGAACATGCAAGAAATCCTCAATTTACAGCGCAAATACTTGTTACAGATTCTTTTAAATGATTAAAATTTTATAATTTCTAAAAAGTATCTTTTCAAATCCGCCAACATATGCCTTCATTTGCTTACTACAGCATTTTTTATGCGAGATATAAAGTTGCAATTACTCCACCGCCTTCCCCTCCTTTTTAACATATTAAATATCAAAGGAAAACGCAAAAAAGCACTGCGTAAATATGTAAAAACCCTCCCTCCCTATAAGCGAACGATTACCTATTAACGTTGTGTGTATGTTAACGTTTTATTTTAGTTAAACCAACCGGTTTTACACTGGGTTGTTTTTACAAAGGCATTTTCCACTTTATGAGTCCGCTGTGAATTTATTCAGTGTTTTACGGTTGTAAATTTGGAAGTTAATATGGGGGTGACGCCCTTAACTGGTATCGAAACGGGAAGGCGCTACGCGTTACATAATGTACAGGGTTGGCTGTAAGAAATTTTGTCACACCGGGAAAAGTACAGTTTCGCCGCGTGTACGTGTACCAGATAGTAAGTCTCTAGTTTAAACACGTTTAAAGTAATATTAAATAACGTTGTTTGGTGATACAGCATTGGTAGGGTTAAATCTCTGCAGGTGGTGACTTTTTGTATACAGGGTGGTCACTTTTACGGTGTACTCCATTAGAATCTCCTGAATTAGAAGGTTACTCGGTTGCATATTTTCTGGGGATCGACCAGTGTCCAGTGTATCGAACAATTCGAGTTAAAATAATAGATGTGCTTCAATAAATTTCACCGGAAACAATTCAAGATTCAGGTAAGAAACATGACTCGCAGAGTACTTCTTTGCATCGACTGAGAGGAACAATTTGAATAATTTGTATTTATTTGATTTTTGTTATTAAATATTGAATTTTTAATGAAACGTAAAAATTTCTGGTTAAATATTGTGCCATTGCAAATAAAAACAGTTAACACTTATTCACAGCAGTAAATGATAGTTTGTTTACATTTAAACAGAAATGTCAAAATTTTCATCTGTTTTTTCATGGCAACTACGATTGAAGTAAATAAATTTTGAAATTAACGTTTTTTGGCCCTTAATAAAATCTGGTCACCCAAATAAAATATATTGTTGAACACGAATCCTACATTTAATGGTGCACAAATCCAATATGGATCCTTAAGAAAATGAAAAGTTGGTTATGAAAACAAGGATCCAGAAGGCCTGGAACGTATTTTAACCTTCCCATATATAGAGCAAATTGCTTTATGTATACGAACCGACTTTCATTACTTTACTTTTAATAATAAAAAAGATATGAAAGAAATAAGTAAAGCCAAGGTTTCAGTTTTTTTCGGATACTTCAGGAAGGGTGCAACTTATCTCTAATTTCTTTTCATAATCCGAAATAGCATGAAAATATGCAACTTTTTTGTAATTTAACCAACTCTATATACCTAGTGGTTTCGATTTTGGTATTCGCGGCCCTGTATCTGTTTTATTTTAACAAATAGCTATAACAAACCCTACATATTTTTAAATCGTCGCTCAAACTCTATTAAATGACGTTATTAGATCGTCTCCGTGGTAACATATGTTAAAATTGCTATAGTCAACTGTTTTTTGTTAAAATGGTACACTATATATTTTTTTATCAATTCTGGAAGATATTTTTTTTCTGCGTTCCTATGTAAAGAAGTCTATAGTCTCATTAGAAATATTGCTAGAAAAACAGCAAGAAACATGAACCCTACTTTTCGTAGCTTTCTTCTGAAAAATGATAGCCAGCTACGGAAACAAGTTACTATGTTTTTTAAAGTAACTTATTTTTAATACGATAATAATATAAATAATACAATATATAAAACAATACTTATTTCAAATGTTCAAAATGACCTCCATTTGCTTCCAAACACATTCTATTGCTTCTTCATTTAATCTCCGACATTCTACCCTTATTCTGTTTTTAAGGTCGTCCATATCATTTAGGTAAGCCCAAAGAAAGAAATCTATAGGAGTGAGATCTGGAGATCTAGCAAGCCATTTAACATCTTTATCGAATGTTCTTCGTCTCTTGCCCTTTTGGGTTTAAAAACTCTTGTTTTCTTTTGAAAACTTCCCTCTGCCGCCAAATTCCTGGCTAAGCTTACGAAAATTTTATTTGATGGAAGTTGTCTCTGCGGAAAACGATGTTGGTATAAATAAATACCTGGCAGCTTTAGCGTTCTTTCGTCCCTCTACATAAATTAAAATCATATCTAGTTTTCCTTGGTTACTGTACGTATTCATGTTATAATTAGTTATCGGAGGTAGATAGGTACAAAATGTCAATTATTTCGACAAACCGTTATTTAGAAACGTCAAAATTCAGTTGTTTCCGCAGCTGGCTATCATTTTTCAGAATAAAGCTACTGAAAGTAGGTTTAATCTTTTTTGCTGGTTTTCTAGTAATATTTCTAATGAAACTATAGACATCCTTATACTGAACGCTGAAAGAAATCATCTTCCAGAATTGATAAAAAAATATATAGTATGCAATTTGAACAAAAATAGATGACTATAATAATTTTGACTTATGTTACCATGGAGACGATCTAATAATGTCATTTGATAGAGTTTGAGAGGCAATTTAAAAATATATAGGATTTGTTATAGTTATTTGTTAAAATAAAAGAGATACGAGGTGCAAATATTAAACTGAATCACCCGGTATATTCTGATTCAGGAGATACTAATAATGTACACCCTGTATTGGTAAATTGGTCTAAATCGTTTTATTTTAATCAAAGGTAAATCGCCCGTAGATGTATTTCAGGGACCCTGCATACGCCCTGTATTTGTTTTAACTGCGGCACTTCTTGTTGCACTGACGACTGCCAACGGGCAACCAAGGAAGCCATAACTTTTAACATGACTCAGCTGATGGCACCATAAGCATGTATGTTTCAATTGACATCCTGTTACAAACACCAGCCGTCTCCCCTATACTTTTTTCGTTTCTGTTTACGTTATAAAAGCTCACAATTATTTGATTCAATAGAAGAATAAGATATAGACTTTCCATTATCTTTAAACTGGATATTGATAAGGTACGATTCCCGATAAACATTATCAGTATTAGAGAATTGCAGTAGCATCCAGGAAGAACAGCTACCATGCGAATTATTATCTATTTAATTAACGTTAGTAAAACAAACTCGGGTGGATTGGCCGCGTCGTTATGCGTGGATAAAACAGCGGGCGAATGTCATTGAATAGTTAATTAAAATCGATCACCATACATTTGAATAAAATTTCCGATGCCGAGCAAATAATTCTATTCACCGTTGGCGAACGGTTTGACATTCGAGCGATATTAAAATTTATGGAGGCTCTCTCGGCGGAGCGACCTGCCCCAGCACGAAATTAGGATAAATTGAGCGGCCCTCGCAAAACGCAGTAAAATGGCTTACTTTATTTCGGACGCGTAAAGATAAAAGTATTTTCTGTTTATTGGATAAGATAAAAAGAATTTGAGCAAGATACATCCTCAGGCTCCGAGATATTGCTCAAAAACTGCTTTAAAATGTGAATTTGAACATCATAAAATTTTCCACAAAAGATTTCGAACCCATGATCAAAGGAAAGTATTTTTTAATATGATCAAATCATTTATTACCTCCTCCAGCTGATTTTTTTTCATCTTTATTAAAGGTATCAATCTAATTTAAACAAATGAAAAAATATATATATTTTCTACCCTTCTAAGAACTTAAGTCAAAAAGGACCCCGCAATAATCTTATGGAAATTGGGTTTCTGTCAAATTGTCTGAATTTTTGATATGTTGTAGATTTTGTCATCCTGAACAAAAGTCTCCATGGGCACAAAGTGCCAAAATGAACATTTTGGCAGTTACGGAGCTGCCAAAGCTCCCCTGACCCGTTGCAAAACTATTCATTTTCAATACTATTTACAGATGTCAAAAGCATATTTTAATTATTCTAATATATAGGGTAATGTTTTTGAGGTCACTGGATTCAACCCTCATGTCAGATTGGACAAATTGACCGTTGACAGCTGTCAATACACTGTTAACGAAGAATAGAAAAATAAATATTCTCTTTTCACATTGAGAGTTTGGGCTTTTGAGGGAGCTGAATTCAATTCTCATGCCAGATTGGCAAAATTGACAGTTGACAGCTGTCAATTCACTGTCAAAGTAGAATAAAGAAGAAAATATTCTCTTTTGTTATTGGGAGTTTGTCAACTACCATTTTCTCCAATTCTAAAAAGAATTGAATTTAGCGAGTTGGCCAACATAAACTCTCAATGTAAAAAGAGGATATTTACTTTTATATTCCTCGAATAATAGAACCTTTTGAATTGCCTAGACGCTTAGACGATGCTTCAAATCTAGATTTTTTGCAAAATCGCTTGCCTGAGTTATTGGAAGACGTGCCATTAAATATTCGGCAAAATATGTGGTAACTGCATGACGGAGCCCCCGCTCACTTTTCTCGGAGAGTGCGCCACTTCCTAAACATTACTTTTCCCGATCGCTGGATAGGCCGAGGCAGCCTAGTTGGATGGCCTCCCCGGTCCCCGGACCTCATCCCTTTGGATTTCTTTTTGTGGGGATATGTGAAAAGTTTTGTGTATTCCACGGAAGTTCATGACATCGACCAACTGCGACATCGTACTGCTGAAGCTTGTAATACGATTCGAGAGGGCCTAGCAATGTTGCAACGTGTGCGAGCGAATTGGATACGTCGCGCTGAAGCTTGCGTGCAAGCAAATAGTGGGTACATCGAATATCTTCTATGAAAATCAACAGTTCTCAAAAGGTGGCTACTTGCAATGTGGAGGTGTCAGATTTTAAAATTACATTTTACTCAACACAAATCCGTGTATTTACCTCATTTTGACATAACGGATATTTGACATAAGTTCATTAACACCCTGTCTACCGTGTTATCAACACGTTCATGTTAAATTGCAATAATAATATTATTAACGTATTATTAACTGAACGACTCGAACAAACGGGATTAAAACCGGGCTAAAGGGCGAAGGCCCTGGAAGGAATCCATGCTCACCTTAAATATGTGATCCACTTCAGCGGCAATCGGGGTGGCGGAAGGCAGGGTTTCCCTCGGTCCAGCCGTAGGGCCTTGGTTCTGAAACACAAAACATATCGTTACGATTCTCATTCAGCAGTCACTTCTCATAACCGAACATAAATCAAACGGTTATACGACACGCTGTGGTTTTGTGCAATCATTGCTCGGCGGACAATACATCTTAGAGGTTACCTGACGAGACATGGTAAATATGATACCGGAGAAATCGCGAGGAACGTGGCGGACCGCGGTTTAATCATAAACTGTAATTTATTACTGCTCACTTCTACAACATATAATTTTTCGTTTACTGTTAAAATACACAGGAGAGTATATTGGATGTTGTAGGGAAAAAGAAGAACCTTTTGTATACCTGTATTGTTGGCACTGATAGTTCAGCACGTGTGTGAACACACAACATCAATGATGGCGCCGTTGTCCATCAACGTCTGCGTGAGATGGAGGTTAGACTATGAACTGCTTTTTGTCCACAGTGTGCACTTACTGGTAAAAAATGTTAATATGTGACGTAATGTGTCAACTGAGATAGATGATTATAATAGAGGTACAATAACATTGATATAAATAACAGAAAATAATAATTATGGCGATGTCATGACCTCAACATAAACAAGGTGTAACAATTCTGTAGGAAATACAGTTTTCAGTTGGTACAAGAATAGTTGAAGATATAACAGACTAAGAGCCGGATAGGAAAATTTTCCTAATCATTTTAGGCACCGTAAGAATCTATGACTTAAATACTACAAACCAAAAGAAAACATTTGAGCACTATGCCGTCAATTCTCCGTGGCACATGGGTTTGTACGGCATAAGGTTTTTATGTCTTATTTTTCTAATATCTGTCTTGGGTCGAAATGCCGTCAATTTCTATTTAATTAATTTACCCGGCCCAAAATTGGAAAGTTTGATTTTCCGCCGACAACCCGTGTGCCACTGAGAATTGACGGCATAGTGCTCAAATGTTTTCTTTTAGTTTGTAGTATTTAAGTCATAGACTCTTACTAAAATGATTAGGAAAATTTACCTATCCGGCTCTTAGTGTATAAGCTTCAAAGCTCGAGCATATAAAATTCCAACAAAACAACTGTTAAGTGCTAAATACAAGCTATCTGACTTTGGATAATTTTTTTTATAGATTTGGACGAAATATTATATGAAAACCTGTGTATAAAATCATAAATTAAACAGTATAGTGGTTAAATTATGTTCAAATGTTTTATGAAAGTTAAAACTGAACTGATCCAAGTTTGAAGATTGTATCTTCAAGTTTTCATTTTCATCGTGAATTCTAGAGCCTCTTATGATCGTTTTAGGAAAAAACTTTTCTATTATTTGTTAAAGTTTGTAGAAACGTCGCTGTTACACCTTTTATGCCCAATAAAAAATTGCAAAATTTGAATTAAAACAGGCACTTTAATAAAAGACTCATCAGTTTAATTTATTCCAATACAATTGCAAATTACCTTTGAACTAAATTAAAAATGAAGAGAATAATGCCTACTGTAATACTAGTTAATGTATTTTTAAATTAAATATTCAATTCGAGTAAAATATAGCAGAAGCACGCAAAAGAAGTCCAAGCATAATTGTTTAATTGGGATCCATCCGATTAAAAAAGTTTTTTCTCGACTATTCCGATTTAATTGTAACTCCATGAAGCCCCCAGTGCATTTTATATACTCGTAGATGCCGATGAAGGCTAACAAGAAAGGCGAGGAGCGAGGTAATTTCAGGGTTACTTTCCCTTTCCGTTATGTAAAAATAAATCATTAATCATCTACTGGTTTGTATATACACAGGATGTTCTATTTTTAAACGTACTAACTTTAACAGTTGATAGAGACCTTGATTTTGAACAAAAAAGTTCATGTGAAAGAACATGGGTCGTAAATCGTTATTTCGACTCAAATATGAAAATCGTTTCAATATTAAGGAGGTTGATCGGATGTACGTCTAAAAGTCTAACGAGAGTTTCTGTACATTCGCTAGTGACTAAAGTAGTGAGTCTTTAGATTTGGCAACGTTGCACTTGGCTGGCTTTGTTTGGATGCCTAAACTTGAAATATACATCATATGTCACACCTGCGAATTTCAAATAATACGCTACTTCGAGAACCGCGACGTTGCCGCTATCACGCATATGGACGTTAAGTTGATCAACAACAGCAGTTTGAAGGAGAATTATTATAAATTATGTATCTTACAAGTACCTAATCGATTTCTACGAGCTGTCATACGGTTCCTTAGATATCGGTTTCCAATTTATACAAGTTGCTGTAAAAACTGTTTGTCAATTGCTGCGCATTCTAAATGGAAAGACTAAAAAAATCTGCATTCTCATAAGACTTTGTACTAAATCGTGAAAAATTATTTTATTAATATCTCGTCTCTTAGGTATCCAAACTAGTCATATTTTTTTTTGATGATTTTCTTCATATTAATAAGGTTATATTAATTTTTTATGAATATTTGTTCGTCAATTCCAAATCTGATAAACCTCCTTAATTGTGGTCATTTACTGAGATAAATGAATGAAAACGATAAATAATAGTAATATAAAACAATTTATATTAATAAATAAACATTTAGAGGTGAAATTATGGCATAGGATATTACAGAAATTGGACATTAAGACATGAAAATACAAAAAAATAATGAAGGTTAATTTAGTTAAAAGTATTATAGTGATGTATGGATATTTATATGTATATCCATATTGTTTCTATGTAACTATAATATTAGAATAATACATCAGTTTTAATGCATCAAAATATGTTTCTTGCTATAATGCATATTAAAAAAAATCGCAACTGGAAATTTACTCTCCACACAAGTAAACTTAATGTACCGCATGACATTTTATATAAGCTGCACCATAACTGCGTAGATTTGAATACATATAAATACATAAACGAACGATTGTATTCTAATTGTCGTTTTTTTTGAGTGGGAGTGTTAAATGTCTTGAGAAATATATAGTTGCAAAAATTAAGACTTATAGGACCGATCTTTATTTCTGTTTGCCGAACTTGATCCATGCTTTTCTCGAAGAGGTGTATTGATAACTGCAGAAATATGTATCATAAACCCATTTGAAAAGCACCTTTAGGATTAACGCTGAACTGAACTCTCTAGTTTTATTTATTAGCTCTAATCCAATACGAGAGATACGAGGGTAGTTTCATGAAAAGTGAAACAGTGTAATATTTAGTATATTGACTTTTTATTTTTTTTTTCTCCGGACGGCGCTCATAAAACGCTTTGTATATGTTCAAGCAGCTCGCGGTCGTGTTAATGTTAAGGTTGTGAAATTCCCATAGAACTAACCCCTCAAAGTAAGTACCGCTGCCCGTAGGCAAAACTGACATACATCGATATTCCCGGCAGTAAGTTTGCGAGAGAGATAGCTCGGTCCGATAAGTTGTCGAGTGGCCGGTAACGATAATCGTGATTGATGTCGCTCCCGTCAGCGCTCGACGCTCACTTGCCCATCCGTTGTTTATAATAACTGGTTTCTGGCACAATGGACGCCCGAGCACTATCTTTTTATGGCGTCCTTAATTAAATTCGAGAAGTAATGATAATGACATCAAAAACAGAACGGGAATGATTTATAGCGACGGCAAAAATTCAGGTTTACACGTTCGCACCGAATTTCGACGCGGAAGTTTCGAACTAAATGCTAAATGCTGGGTTTTTTAACCGTGAAATATCCATCAACAGGATTATGATGTCCTTCTCGTGCGTTGTCCGTATAAGCACCAAAATGAACGATTGTCGCGTTCCTAGTTGCGCGGTGCATTCGACTCTGACTTTATGCTAACCTTGAGTAATTTTTACCAGTTATTATTGCACATATATTCTACCATCCTTAACTTACATGGTAAAAAAATTTAATTGAAAATTTAGTTTACAATGTCATCTAGATAATTAAATAGATTAGTCTTATGAAACACATTAAAAAGGAAATGTTAAATTTGTAATGTGCAGTCAATTTAAATCGGCTTGCAAAATAATTGACTTGAATACGTGGGCTCTTCGTAGCTCGCTTCTAAATCTGTAAAATGTTTACAGTGGTGGTCATGGTTACCATCGCGCAGCTGTGAAAGACGGAGTGGGAGTAGCGCATATTTTTTTTTCTTAATAAACGTAATTTGTTCAGGTACGGCGTAAAATTTTGTACTCACATATTGTTTCTTGTGTGTTATTTAAAAAAATGTATCACTTGCAATTCTATCTATTGAAAAATCAATGGTGCGAAAATACTAAACTTTAATGAAAAAGTAATAGAAAAGTTTAGTTCGGACAAATGCAGAAGAATGAATTTTTACTATAAAAAATAATGTTGCATACATAAAATAAAACTACCAATTATATTTGATTTTTTTTTCAATATTTTGTACCTAAATTTCTCCGCCCTCCCTGGTATGGAAATCGAGAGCTGCCACTGATAAAATTCCCATAATAGAAATACAATACAATTCAGTCCGTTTTAATAATATAACAGCAATTACCTCAGACTTAGACTTTAGTCTCTATTGAATTTGTCATTATAGTTTTTCCGATATCAATTGAAGAACCAACAGATTGATAGTATGTACCAGGTTCGGTCGCTGACGCAGCAACTCAGCATTGAAATATTTGAAAAACTTGTTCCCATATTTATTTAACCATAGCCATATACAGGTCTGGTCGAACTAAACGTGGAGGCGATAGAAATGTATACGCTCAGTTGAAGAATGCGAGCGCGGGCAAAGGAAAACGGTCACTGTTGCATTGGGCTGCTGGGCAATAAATCACAGCAGATGACAAGTGGTTGATAAATTGCCCAGCAGTGCAGTGCAGCAATGCGGAATTTGGTGTGATTCAGGTAATTTTAATTTATTATAGGCACCTTCTATCATTCATTCATATTACAATTGCGAAAAGGAGAAATAAGAGGGATATTTTGTTTATTAATATTATCACAACATGGCATCTTGGAGACCTTTTGAAACGGAACAAAACGAAATTTACCAGGAATATAAAATTGT